TGAGGAGCGGCTGAGGGAGCTGGGGTTGTTTAGCCTGGAGAAAAGGAGGCTGAGGGGAGACCTCATCGCTCTCTACAACTACCTGAAAGGAGGTTGTAGCGAGGTGGGTGTTGGTCTCTTCTCCCAAGTAACTGGCGAAAGGACGAGAGGAAATGGCCTCAAGTTGCGCCAGGGGAGGTCTAGATTGGATGTGAGGAAAAATTTCTTTACTGAAAGAGTGGTTAAACATTGGAACAGGCTGCCCAGGGAAGTGGTTGAGTCCCCATCCCTGGAAGTATTTAAAAGACGGGTAGATGAGGCGCTTAGGGACATGGTTTAGTGGGCCTGGTGGTGTTGGGTTGACGGTTGGACTCGATGATCTTGGAGGTCTCTTCCAACCTTAATGATTCTATGATTCTATGATTTGCCATAACAATTGCCAGATCAGAAAAGCCGTAGGTCCTTTTACTTGCTTTCATTAGGCTTCTGCAACTCTGAGATTCCCGACCACAGAGTTCCCCAGATTCAACATGAGACACACACGCAGACATAAACACTGAGGGGGCAGGAAGTTTCTACACCTTTGCCTGATATTTCTGTGAGTAACATCAGGGACATCCAACACAGTGTGTGGAAGCACCTCCTCTCCTTTCAAAGGCGGTGAGCATGCTACCATTTATATTTTCTTTGCTGGCAACGTAGTTTCCAATCCCTTCACACACAAAAAGACCAATCATTCCAGTTCCCACACTCCAGTTCATTGCGACTGACTTTTGTGAATGCAATTGTTTGTGGAGCAACTCAGTGAATCTCACATCTAGATGTATTAAAAAAAAACCCACAACCTAAAATAAAACCAAAATTTTTTCAGAGTGGCATTACTTTTAAACTCAGATCATTTCAATGGTCTAGTTTATAGCTGCACTATCACAAATGAAGGAATAGTACACAATAGCACAGAAGTTGGAGAAAGTGAGTAGAGACGATCAGTAGGAGCATCTTGGTATAGCTTTGCTAATGAAGAAAAT